ACAGTAACTCTTACAAAAGAAAACCTTTAATTGGGACTTGCTTAGTTTCAGAGGCTTAGTCCATTGTCATCATGGTGGGGAGCATGGCAGGAATGGTGCTGGAGAGGTAGTAGAGAACTACATCCTGATCTGTAGGCAAAGAGAGAAAGAGGCACTGGGCCTGACATGGGCTTTTAAACCTCAAAGCCCATTTCCAGTGACACTTCCTCCAGAAAGGCCACACCTCCCAATCCTTCTAATTCTTTCAAATGATGACAATTCCTGGTGACCACGCATTAAACATATGAGTTTTCAAACCACCACAATAGTCTTAGATGATGGGGCTCTGATAGTGGCGCATGGTTGTTAAAATCTGATGTTTAGTATTTATTTTCTGGTCATGATCTTTGTTTGGGAGGCATTTTGATTGTCCATCCTGTAGAAGATGAAAGAGACAATGTGTTCTTAAGGAATGGAGTACTTTGTTAATGTAATAAGGCCCGAAGCTGAAGAGAATAACACTCAAGTTATGATTTCTGCCTGATATTTCCTTGTTCTTCCATAGTGATATGAACAAATGAAAGCATTTAAAGTGTGGTAAAAAAAAATTAAATAGTTTAAAAATACATCTTATTTCTTTTCTCATTCCTCCAAGTCTAGATTTCTCCTGTTTATTTTCTCCCCCTCTCAGCCCCGTCTATCCTTTCTTCTGACTAGCTACTAGGCATTTAGGTTTTTATTAGGCCAGTCAGGTGCATTATGTAGTAGTCAAGATGAAACAAATGCGACACATCTTTTCATAATTAAACAAATGCAGCATAAACACACCTTTACATAGTGAAAGTAATATTCTGTAGCATAAACAAATGCGACACATCTTTGCCTAGTTAAAATAGTATTCCACAACACTATTGTACTTGACTCCTAGTAACCTTCTGCTAGATTAGTGTGTCTCACGCAGCCATTAACACAGAAGCTTCCTCCTACAGTAGACAAAAGACTCACAACTGGGAAGTGTATAGAGACCTCGGAACACTGAGATCTAAATGTGGTCTTCAGGCTCAAGAGCTGTGTGGAAACAGAGTCAAGAAAACTGTAATGGCCAGAGGGAATGTATGACTCCAAGGACACAGTGTTCTCCACACAACAGAGCAAATACACAGGAACTGTGGCAGCAGGCACAGGCCTGCATAGGTCCAAACCAGATGTGGTTGCAGTGCTGAGAGGGTAAGCAGAAAGAGCTCCCATACCTAAGCAAGAAGCTATCTTCAATTGATAACTGCATGCAAAGGAAAAATGTTTTCTCTAATGGAGTTTCACTGGGTATACAAACTACACTTAAAGGGCAGTGTACAGACAATACATAGTTTCTGATTTTGTGTTTTTATGGATTGTGTGTGTGTATGTGTGTGTCTACATGTTTCTCATGCTCTTTCTTCCCTTGTTTCTTTTTGTTTATTCATTTGCTAGTTTATTTTTGATTGCATGTTATTTACCTATTTGTTTTCTTAAGAGAGAAAAAGAAAGCATAGAGTTGGAAGGGTGGGGAAGATCTGTACGGAAATGAGGCAGAAGAAACCATGATCAGAACATATTGCATGAAAAACACTATTTTCAAAAAATATATTGTATAAAATTTTCAAAGAGTAAATAATAGGATTATTTTGAAAAATTGTTTAGTATGTGTACATGTACTAGAGAAGATAGATGTGATAAATGATAAATAGACAGATGATAGATGTATGATCGATAGGGTTTTTTGAAGCAGATTTTTCTCTGCTGCTTAGCCTGTCCTGGAATTCTATGTTTCCCAGGGCTATCCTTGAATTCAAGTTCTTCTTGCTTTAGTCCTGAGATTATAAGTATGTACCGCCATGCTAACTTGTAAATACTTTTTGATTGACACAAAAGGCATACACTATAAGATCAAAGCCCTCAACATTTATGTACAACTGAATCTTGTCTCTTTGAATGAAGGACAGCAAACTCAGAGATGCATCAGACAGGAGAGGGAAGTTCAATGAGTCTCCACAGAGGTGTGGAGCCACTGTTGGTATGTTGGGTGGTCTTGGCTAATAGAAGTTGAGACTATGGTTCAGGTGAAGACTGTACCTGAAGTGCCCATAAGTTAGAGGCTTGCTCTTTGGGGATCTCAGTGCTGAAGAGCCTTTAAGAGCAAAGGCCTGGTGAGAGGTAGTTAGGTCATTGGAACTTCTGCTCCTGAAAGGGTCAGTGCTGGTCACACACAGAAGTTTGTTCTCACGAGACCAGGTTGTTACAAAAGAGCAAAGCTTTCTCCTTCACAGTCTCTAGTCTCTTGTCTTGGTCTATGTGCCTCCCTTTTGCACCACAATGACTGTTGTGTTGTGATCCAGTTGAAGGAGCCCTCACCATAGGCTGAACTGATGGAGTTTCCTAGTATATTAGCAACTTTTCTGTTGCTATGATAAAACACATGACCAGAAGAAACTTATATATGAAGGGTTTATTGGGGTCCATTCTCAGCTCCGGGGGTGGGGGGGAAAGAGTCCAACATGGTTGAGGAAGTAGGAAGCTGAGAGCTCACATCTTCAACCACCAGCATGAGATAGAGTAAACCAGAAGTGGCATGAGGCTTTTTATCTCAAAGCACTGACCCCAGTGATGGATGGATTCCTCTTGCAAGACTGCACCACCTAAACCTCCCCAAACAGCACCAACCAACTGGAGAGCAAGTGCACAAACACCTGAGACTATGGAGGCTCCTCACTCTGGTACCACACCCAAATTAAATACCATGTCCAGATCAAATACCACACCCAAACGTGCATTTTCAGTCTCCCAAACTGTGAGCTAACTGAACATTTTTTTTTCCTTTATAAACACCTAGCTCAAGGTATTTTGTTATAGCAACAGCAAAGTCACCAATACAGTGGGCATCCCTGAACTTGTTACTCTTCTGTTAAATGTAATTACATTCAACGAAATGACTCTAGGACAGCTTGTAGGAGTGTGCATGACATACAATAGTAGTTTTCTTCCTGTTTGTCTTAGAAAAGAAAGAGTCCATCTAAAGACCTTTGAAATATTGTTTGTACAGTGCTTGACAAGGATTTCTCCTAAGTGAGTTTATGTTTCACTATAATTATTATAAGTCCTGAAGAGGTACTAGATGGATAATCACTAAATAGATTATCAGTGACCTGTAAATGTACTGATGCAGAATATGGGAGAAACATATAATAAATATGTCATACATAAACAAATTCATCAAAGACTAATTAGATACTATGTATATGTTGCAACACAGTCCCTTACCTGAAACTTTTGAAGCCTGTGCTTTTTGGAACTTGGAACCTTTTGGATTTTCAAAAGTAAATTATGTGGGCTGGAGAGATTTCTCAGTGGCTAAGAGCACTTGCTGCTCTTCCAGAGGAGCCAAAATGAATGCTATGAATGCTTCCTTCTTTTAAGTTAATTCTCAGATATTTTATGGCAATAACAGAAAACAGACTACCATCTAGTTGAAATATAAGCATGGGAGCACATTCGCCATGGAGGGATACTTCCTTAGCCTAGAGGCAGTGGGGAGGGCCTAGACCCTACTCCAAATGACTTGACAGATTTTGATGATTCCTCCGGAAGGCATCACCCTCCCTGTGAAGTGGAAGGGGAAATTGGATGAGAGGGGGTGTTGGGGGCATGGGAGGGAGGGAGAGGGAACTGGGATCGATATGTAAAATAAGAAGAAAAAATACACACACACACACACAGTAAGCAGAAGCAGGATAATGGGAAAGTGTAGATTTGGCAAATCACAGAAATCTCATAGATAGATAGAATATATATATATATTTAGAATGACTATGGTCCAGGTAGTCCAACAGTGGCTGTCTACCAACAGAAAGTCTGAGAATCCAGTAGTTGTTCCGTCCACAAGGCTGGATGTCTCAGCTGGTCTTCAGTATACAGTGGAATCTCTAAGAAGTAGGCTCTAATGGCAGTGAAATAATGAACTTGCCAGCAAGAGTGAGGGCAAGCAGGCAAAGAGGGAGAGTTTCCTTCTTCCTATTCTTTGTATAGGATGCTCCAAAAGATGTGGCACAGATCAGAGATGGGTTTTCCCATCTCAAAAGATCCAGATTAAAGGTGGGTCTTCCCTTTCAAATGATTTAACTAATAAAAGTCTCTCACAAGTGTACCCAGCTGTTTGGGTTGTAGTTAGTTTCAAGTGTAGTCAAGTTCACAACCTAGAAGAGCCATTTCTATCTTTCTTTTTCTCCTCTCCTTTCTTCCTTTTTTCCCTCTCCATCTAATCACCAACCCCCTTTGCCAAACTCAGTCTATGGGACCAACATCTGCTTACCCAGTATAGCCCAGATAAAACGTTAGCTGACTGAGTGGCAAAAAAAAAAAAAAAAAAAAAAAAAAAAAAAAAGAATATGGAAAGAATATGGAAAAATGAGGACCGAAGAAGAAAAAGTAGAAGAAACAGAGAATGCAGAAAATCATGAGTGAAGAACACAGGAAAAGGAAACGGGGTGGGGGGAATGGGGTGGGTGGGGTGGAATGGATCCTATCCCAGCATTTGTCCTTGCACCACCTTACCAGCAGGCCCTGTAATTTTCCAGGCTCAGGATAAAAAGCCTAATCACATGGCTTTCCAGACACAGTCCTAGATAGAATCACTTTTATTGCATTTGCATCAGAGAAGTGCATTGCCTTGTACAGCTCCCAGAAGTCTGTGATTACCACAGAGGCCCCATGTGGGTAACAGGGAAGGAGATGGGCAAAAGATGCAGTGAGCTCTTCTAATCTGTGCCCAAGTTCTACTCAGTCCAGGGATGAGGCTGATGACCGTGGCTAAGGTAGGGTCTAGAGCTTGACCTTTGTAGGGCAGGGATTGAAGGTGAGAGACATCTAGGAGAAACTAAACATTATTTTGCTATTGCTGACCCCCAGAACAAAATGGCAGTTGGATGACCCCTAATGCAAAGAATAATTGTATTTTCAGAAGACAAAGATCAGATCAGCAATGGTCCATCCTCACTTCCCAGGATCTTTTTTATAGGGCACCCAAGTGGGGGACAGAAGCATCAGCAAATGGAAATGCAAAAGAAGAAAGACAATGAGATGCAGAGAGGAGAAAGGCATGAGGTGCCTCACTGAAGCTTAATTTGCTTGTAGCCATCGCACGTTACGATAATGAACTTTTCAGTTATGTAAGTCAGATAATGGCAGTTGGGAAAGAGTTGGCCTGGTTTGGACAATATGCACAATGTCAGTTCAAAAGGGCGGGAGCTTTTATGACATTTGGAGCCCTTGAGGTCACAGTCAATCACAGGACTTTCACAGACTTCTTTGACCGTGCTTGGAGTTTCATGGATGAACGTGTACTGGTTTATGCATTCGTGATCATACTCCTTCATCTTGGGTGTCATCATGGTGTTACAGTCCCTGGCACTTAAGTCAAACCTAAGGTGACGGTCTTGTTTGCTCTGAAAGAGAACCTCAGACCTCAGCATCCTGCTTCCTACAACCTCATCTTCATTGAGGGTAGTCTCTTGTGGCCAGACAGATTGTGCCATTTCTTTGTAGCTGAGCACCAGTGCTTCTGTGGTCCAGTTGCCTTTTCCCTCTTCAGTGGCCTCAGCTTTGTCATTGGAGTCACCAGGCCAAAACTCACTAAGTGGCTGATCATTGTCCTCCAGGACTGCAGCAGCCATCTGAAGACCCAGGCCCAGGCCCAGGCCCAGGCCTAACAGCAGCAGCAACATCATAAACAACATATGCACCAGAGTCACCTTCATTTTGCCTGGAGAAGAGGGGGAAGATGAAGACACAAAATAGAGATAAACTCTAGCCCATGTCATGGTTAGCCAAAGTCAACAAAATAGGCCTCAGTTTCTCCACTCCATTCACATCACTCCACCTCCCTAAGGCAATGTATCTCCTTGTTGAATGTTTCTTTTGCCCCTGCTCACCACATTCCCCTTCCCTATGTAATAAGGTGTGGGTCTTGAGGATTGGAAATAACCAGTAGAAGTGATTTTTAAACAGGTCCACACCTAAGGAATCGATAAGGGAACTTGATACCACTCCATCCTTTTTCTTATGATGCTGGAGCCTTGGACATGCTAAGCCTGAGCTCTCCCTTTGTGATCTAGCCTACTAGTCAATTCTTAAACAGAAATTATTTCCTAATCACTAAGGAGTATAGCTAAGCTAAATGAATACAGAGAGATTCTTACAGAAAACTTTGCTCTAGGTAAAGAACTAGACTCATCATAGGAGGCACTGTATCCATTTTTTTTTTTTAAATACCAGGTTTATTTTACTTGTTATTACATTATCCTTCTCCCAAAAAGAGATAAAAATGAATAGAAAGAGTACTAGGTTCAATCTCACTCCTAAAGTAAAGCTCCAGAAATGTCCAATTACAGCTCAGGCCTCTGCTACATTTTGTCATTCGAGCTTCTATTTGTAGTTAGGGAAGAAACACAGTAGTGGTTTCTTACTCTCCAGCCATCATGGCAGCTGCTCTTGGTTGGGGCCTGCCCCACAGCTAAGATTGTAGCTGAAAATAAGACAGGTTTCTTCAGTCACCAACTCTAGATTCCACCTTATTATGAAAAGCAGGAAAGACATGCTGGGTACCAGAAGATTCTAAAAGAGGATGAGCCAGAGAAGCACAAAATTGGCCATCCTGGTCAAGACCTGCCTAGCTGTGAAGATATCTAAAATAGAATACTATGCCCTTTGCCAAAATTGGTGTCCATTGCTCCAATAATATTGAACTGGGCCCAGCATGTGCAAAATACTACAGCGTGTGCACGATGGCTGTCGTTGATTCAAGTGATCCTGACTTATGAGAAGCTCACAGCACAGACCAGTGAGAAATAAACTAGGAAAGCTTTTCTTTAATAAAACTAGCCAGAGCTTGGTTTTGTTTTAAAGACAAGGAAAGAAAGAAACGTAGGAAGAATGAAAGAAAATGGGCTGTAGATGTGGCTCAGTTGGTAGAGATCTTGCTTAACATGCATGAGGCCTTGGGTTGCTCCCTGAGGGAGGCTTACCTATACTTGCAAGCAGCTTCAGATAGTCCTGGCTCTTTCTGTGCCCCTGGTTCTGCCCTCCTAGAGCTTTCTTCTCTGTGAGCAGTTCCCAGAAGCCGCTCTCCATAAAAACCTATCTCCTTGTGTGCCACGGGCTTTTAAACATTGCCGGATTTCTTGAACCCATTCCTCTTCCCTTCCTCCCAGCACAGAATAAACATACTCAGTTAATTTGCATTCCTGCTCCCACAAACACTTTGAAGTAAAGCAATTTAGGCAATGACAGGAAGTGTCGTCTAGCCCAGGGAAACTGCAGACAGTTTTATTTCATTAGTCAACTGTTATAATCTGAGTTACGCCCACTAACCTGTGGTTTAGAGCCCTCTGACCCTGTGCATGAATTTCGAGCCTTATTATAGTCTTGTTTCCTACACATACTGCCTTAAGCCCTTTCCTATCATTTCTGAAATGTTTCTGGTGTTTTGTTTTTTCTTTTATTTGCATTACCTTTCCAACACTGCTTTTCACAATTTACCACTGTATCATGATTTCATTTGACTATTTACAGTGGGGGAAAGAATAAGTCCAGGTTTTGTAAATGTAGTTTTCTGGCCCTAGAAAAAGATTACCCAAAGCAGAAGAGTTCATCAACTCCTACATTGGTGAACAAAGCCAGTCAGCTCACTGTAGATATCCCCTCGTCTAGCTCGATTTCAGATCACCTGGGGATTGTTAAGACACTACAAAGACTATCTCCAGATCCACCCTCACCTGGGTGTTTTCCCTAGTCCTTGGATAGGGTTCTGAGAGTTCTGTCTACAAGGTTTCTGATTTTTTTTTTTTTTTTTTAACTTTTTGAGCTATGGTTCATTCGAGAATGGCAAGCAAAGGCATTAAGTAAAGACTAAATAAAACTTCACTTGCTTTCTGCTAAACTAACTATAGACTGGCACAAAGTTTACTTCAACTAGAGGATGAGGCCTTTCTTATAATTCATATGAAGGAGCTGTGGATATCTGAGGACTTAGATGGTTTTTCATTTTAGTTCACTTTCAAATAAATTGCTTCACATGCCCTCTGACCTCTTAACCACACGAGGTTTAGAATTATTCCTCCAGTTTTATAATAAAATTGAAGCCGAGAGCTGTCTAGTGATCTGCGTAAGCCACATTAGCAGGATGTGGAGGGACAGGGTGGCTCCTACTCTGCCAGCTGCCACCCTTTGCTCCTTGTCTTTGTGAACAAAAACTCCGGAGAGAAGCTGTGTCGGCAGAGATTGACCGATTAGAATTCCAGTACTGTAGAGAGACTGGAATGTTGCTCCAGAGGCTGACAACCTTATCTCGGCCTTGTTCTAGCCTTCCCGAACAGCCATTCCTTGTCTGTGCCAGTGTCTAAACTAGCATCTTGTGACTAATAGATAGAAATCTTTTGCAATCTATTAACTTAGCAGGCCACTAGCCTCCACCAACGCAATAGCTGAGAATGTCACCAGATTGTATCTTAGGACTATAAAAAAGTTTCTTACTTCTTGCTGTACCTGCCTCTCTGATGTACTCACCAATGTATTTTGATTCTGCCTTGATTTGTGCCTTTCATCTTTTTGTAAAACTATCAAATTCATGAGAGTGCTTCTACATTGGAACGTGGAATTCGAGGTAACCTAAATCTGTGTTCCCAGGCCATGGTCACTCAAAATGGCTATTTTTTATTCCCTCCAAGATGAGAGCTGTGGTTTTTGTGTCAACATTTTACCCTACCTTCCCAGACACTGATAACTGGCTCCAGGTGATGTCACTTTTCTTGTGGCTCTAGAGCATAGTTGGTTATCCCTGATGACAAAAACAATCTTGAATACATAAACTGACTCTGTTTTTTTATTATTATTATTTATTTGGTATTTTGAAGACAAGGTAGCCCATGCTGGCCATGAACATGTGTCATTCCTCTTACCTCATCCTCCCAGTGCTGGGCTTACAGGATGGTACATGAAGCCAGGTTTGGTTATTATTGTAACAATGAACTCTCATAAATCTGATCTCCATTCATAGAGCACAAGCCTTCCAACTTGGCTCTTATAACCCATTTGCCCCTCTTTAATCTCTTTGGTTTTTCTGACTTGGGTTCTCACCCATTCAGGCCCTGGAGTCCATTTGACAGACAATAACTCTTTGAGGAGTTATTGAACTATTTTTTTCTTTCTACATGACTACATTTGGAAGTTATGTACTGTCGGAGGAGTTTTGCTAATAACACATAAACAACAAAACATACCGTAGTCACCTCTGGTGCCAAAGAAACTTCCAGAACCAATAAAACCCATGGGAGTAGTTCCCCCCAAATGCTGGAGCCCTCTGTTCAAAAGTTCTGTTTTTCATAGCCTCCACTTTTTCTAGAAAAAAAAAAAGCATGAATGTTTAGAGGGTAACCAACCTACTTTCTATTGAAGTTGGGGCCCAACAAGAGAAGTGGTTAGTAGCCTAGTTGTGGGTTACTTTTTAAAGTGGTTAGTAGCCATTTGTCTCTATCTTTTTAGGCTCTGCCAGGGAAGAAAGTAGGCTGGTTGTAGATTTTCACCTCTCCCTTTCTCCTCCAGATCCAATCCCCCGGTCTCACACCCAGCTTTGTAACAGAAAAACCTGCTTTAGTCTCCTTTTTCTCTTTGACCTCATCCTTAATGGATCAGGAAGATCTTCTCTTTCAACCCTCTTTCTCTCAACTCATCCCATTGTTCCAGCCTCCAACACCAACAGCTGTTCCCTGGGAACACACCAGCTGAGCAGGCCAGGGAAACAGGTAAACTAGCTGAAGACCTTCACCACTCCTTCCTCTCCTCCAAATCCAATCCCACAGTCGCATCCCTATCCTGCAACAGGACACCTACTGCAGGCTTCTTTTCCCAACTCCTGTGGATGCCAAAGACATTCCCTTTCTAACCCCCCTACCCCCAACCCCCCACCTTGTTACTTTATCCCAGCCTCCAACTCCAGTCTAATCCCAGCTCCGTATCAGACTTTCTAGGGTGGCCTCTCTTCTTTCTCTATTCCCGCTCCAAGTAGTCTAAATAAGCAGATCCTGGTGAAACACTCTGCCTTCCTCCCTCCTGTGAACTCCTGCAGACCCCTAGTCTATCCCATTCCTAAGTGTCAACTCCCATACCCAGAAACACATTTTACCTGTATCCCCCAGTGGCCACATCTGTATCCCCAAGTAGTTCACAGAAAATTTCCTACCAGGCAACACACAGCCACCATACTCTTCTAAAATCCAGAGAGGAAACAAAAACCAAGGGAAAAACAAAAGACAAAATAAAACAAAACAACCCACCCACCCAACATATCAGCTCCTAGAACCAGCAGAGTACAAGAGATGGACGAGAGACAGTTGTTGAAGACAGATTAGGAAAAAAAAAAAATAAATACTTCAATCAAAGTAAATGTTAAATCTAAAATCTCTTGACACAAAACATCCAGGAAATCTTGAACACTATGAGAAGACCAAATCTAAGAAAACTAGGAATAGAGGAAGGAGAAGAAACCCAGGTTAAAAGTCCAGAAAATATTTTCAACAAAATCATAGAAGACAATTTCCCTAACCTAAAGAAAGAAATACCTAAAAAAGACACAAGAAGCATACAGATCAACAAGTAGACTGAACCAAAAAAGAAAGTCCCCTCGGCACATAATAATCAAAACACTAATACAGAATAAAGACAGAATATTAAAAGCTGCAAGAGAAAAAGACCAAGTAACATATAAAGACAAAACAATTAGAATTACACCTGAATTCACAATGAAGACTCTAAAAGAAGAGTCTAGATAGATGTGCTACAGACTCTAAGAGACCACAGATGCCACCCCAAACTACCATGGCAGCAAAACTTTCAATCACCATAGATGGAAACAACAAGACATTCCACCAGAGGTGGAGAAAATAAATCCATATTTAAGCAATATTTACCTATAAATCAAGCTCTAAAGAAGATGCTAAAAGGAAAACTCCAACCTAAGGAGGGTAACTTCAACCTGAAAACAACAGGGAATAAATAATCTCAGGCCATCAAGGTCAAAAGAAAGGAAACACACACACAACTACCCCCCACCTACCCTCTGCCACCATCACTACCACCACCAACAACAACAAATTTAACAGGAATCAACAATCATTGTCCATTGATATCTCTTTCAATATAAATGGTCTTAATTTCCCAATGAAGAGACACAGACTTACAGAATGAATGCAAAAATGGGATCCCTCCTTCTGCTGTGTCCAAAAAATACATCTCAACATCAAAAATAGACATTCCCTCAGGGTTAAGGATTGGAAAAAGATATTCTAAGCAAATGAATCAAAGAAACAAGCTGGTGTAACCATTTTAATATCTAACTTCAGTCTAAAACTAACCAGAAGACATAGGGAAGGACACTGCATACTCCTCAGAGGAGAAATCCACCAGATAATATTTAAATTCTTACATCTATTCACCAAACACAAGGACATCCAATTTATAAAAGAAGCACTACTACAGCTTAAATCACATATTGATCCTCACACATTAATGATAGTGGGAAACTTCGATACCTCACTTTTGCCAGTTATACAGATTACCCAGATAACAACTAAACAGAGAAATTCTGGAGCTAACAGACATTATAAACCAAAAGTCCCCAATAAATATTTTCACAACTGCTGGAAGTCTCACCATTTCCAATTTCAAGTTGTACTACGAAACTATAGTAATAAAAAAAATGCATGGTATTAGCATAAAAACATTACATAAATCCACACAACTATGGGCATCTAATTTTTTGAAGAGAAGCCAGAAATACACTCGAAAAAAAGACAGAATCTTTAACAAATGGTGTTAGTCAGACTGAATGTCTGCACACAGAAGAATGCAAAGATATCCATAGTTATCACCCTGCACAAAACTCGAGTCTAAATGAATCAAAGACCTCAACATAAACCTAGATACACTAAACCTGATAGAAGAGAAAGTGGGGGAACAGCCTTGATTCATTAGCACAGAAAAAAACTTTTCTGAATAGAACACCATTGGTGGCACAGATACTGAGATCAACAGTTAATAAATGGGACCTCATAAAATTGAAAAGGTTTTGTAAGGCAAAGGACACCGTTATTCAGACAGAACAGCAGCCTACAGAATG